ATTGATTACTCCCGGACGAAGGAACGCAAACGCATTCCAATGCTACAAAATTCATCCGAACAATCCAATTTTTTTCAAATTTCCACTAATAATTCCCGGAGGAGCATTCGTCTTTTTCCGAACGAACGGATGTAACTCCATTCCAAGGTTGCAAACTTGATCCGAAAAAGCCAATTTTTGCACGAACAAACCTTTGTAATTTTTGTTGGAAATTTGTTTGATTTTTGCATGAGATCAGAGGAAAAATCAGTACAATTTTCAGGTAAAAATACCCAAGATTTTCCACTTAAAAATGCAATTTGCGAGGTGTAGTTTGGCAAAATTGCGATGCATGTTACGTTCTTTTGAGGCGTTCCCCTGCATATGGAAGAGGAACTGCTTAAAAAAACCATTTGTACCATTACAGTCTCAAATTTAAAAACCTTTTTGAAGCTTGGGAATTTGAATTACAGACAATCAATGCCGCCGTTGTGATTTTTGTGAAATTTTACGGAGCCACATATCAGTTGATTCAATCTAAAATCTCCATTGCACAAAAGGACCTCATACTAGAAGAGGCACGTGATGTTGGAATTAAGTTCAAGGTTATTCGCGAATACTTTCGCACGTGTGAAATAGACCTGCCAAACCTGACTCGCTCAATTAAAATCAGTCATGTGTTTTATTGCCTTCCCAAATATTCCACAACTCGATCACAATGGGAGTGAGAAACGCTCCGCATTTTTAGAGTTCCATGCGGAGTTTTTGTGCCTTGTTTACTTTTTTTCCCCTCGAAAGTGCGCCACTGGGTCATTCAGTCGCAAATGATAAATGAACTACAAAAAAAAAATGGACAACAGTTGGCGATGTTGTCAAACTGATCAGTTACGTAAATCATCTGGTTCCTGTAATACGCATTAAGACGAAATTATTTGATAGGTCAGCTTAGGATCTTGCCCTGAGAAAAGATATTAACAATGAGTCCTCCTGTACAGTAGACACGAGAGAACTGGGCAAATAATGATGATGTTGGACTTTTCAACCCATCTTCTGCAAATAATCAACACGCATTATTCAGTTAAAAGAATACCAAAAAAAGACCTCCTTTTAGAGTTGAAAATTTCCGTGTTGATGTTTACTTTGAGTTAGTTTTTTACGTTCAGACCAGCCGAGAAGACTTGGTTGATGGACCAACTTTTTAGTTGAATTGATCGAAATCGTTGGTTACTACTTGCATGAGAAATCTGGGGATGAAGAAAGTGCCCGACGAAAGGAATACACTCTTGTTTCTCTGGATCTCACTGAAAGGTTGCGACTTACAAGTGGCTATACAGCGCATTCTACTATCACCAATGATCGAGCGGGCTCATTGTTTAAATCGATAGAGTCTCAATGCCTATCGATGGCCAAAGTATGAAACCACGTATATCTCTGATTGCGGCATTGCAGCTTTCCTGTCATACTTCATTTTTTCTTTAAGAAACTATTCATCGAAATTTTTCCAAAACTCTATTCTTCCTCTCGGAAGAAAATAGAATTCTTACTCTCAGAAGAAATGGGAAAGTAGATTTAAAAATTTCCAAATTTCAAGATGACTTGATTCTCTTCGTAAAAATAAAATCGAAGCGGAAATTTTAAAACACCGTACTGGAGATACGTGGTTTCGCACTTGAGCTATGGATATCGTCTCTAAAATGAATCGACGTATGCGAAAACGTCCGTTGTCTAATGCAGGGTTTCATAATTGCGGTGGGTTTCTTATGTCCCACGACACTGATGAATAGGATCGATCTCTTTTGTAAACGTTTAATTACACTTGGGGGATTATTTATAAAATTGTTCTACGTTCCTAACGTCTTAAACCATATTGTGTCGTTAAATTACAAGGAAATTTTCCACTCAAATTCTGAAACAATGTCTTGGACATCGGACGTTTTCGCATACGTCGATTCAAATATGTTGTCTATATAGTCCCGTGGAAGGATACACGCATGTAAAACCATCTTGTGTCGTTAAATTACAAGGAAATTTTCCACTCAAATTCTGAAACACTGTCTTGGACATGGGACGTTTTCGCATACGTCGATTCAATAATGTTGTCTATATAGTCCCGTGGAAGGATACACGCGTGTTTCCAGCTACAGCAGCACAGGAGCGGCGCGAGAGGCGGGTTGCGAAATAGGCATTGACCTAACTCGTGATTCTGCGCGGTGGACGCATGCGAACTTCAGGCGCGAAAATCTGGGGCTGAAGCGACGAGACGGCGGCCAACGACGTCATCGAGGGACGTTTACCTTGGCGAAAGCGCGCGGAATCCAGCGTTCGGGCCGCCGCGGCGACGCGACCCCGGCGAGGGGGTAATTTCAAGATGCCCCGAGCGGGGTTTATCGACGCTCGGCGAATGTCACTTGCATCGGGACGGCGCGGCGCGGCGCGGCATCGGACCTGGCGCCTGATCTTTGCGAATTGATTAGATCCGCAGAATTACATGCACGCGTGCTCAGAAAAATAAATCGCAGAAAAATTACAGCTCTAACGAGCCTCGGATAAAAGCAGCGAGTGCAATTTCAGATTGTGCTACAAGTTGATTGGATAATCTCCAGCGATTGTTTCGCCGTGCTCCTTCAAAAGTCCGTTAAAAAGCTTTGTACAACGTTCTCCCTTACAACATGGCAGTCATGAGGAATCAGTAAAATTAGGAATTAACGTACATCTAAAGGAGCTGCGTTAAAATTAATGTATGGTTTTTATACTTGAAAAAGTAAGACCTGTGACGGAAATATGATGTGAGAACACGTCTCTACTTTCTTATATTAGCGTTAAAGTCTCTGCATGCGTGCTTATAGCCTTCCTCTACGATTCACAATCAGTTAAGGTTCAAAGATGGGCGCTTTCATGTGTATTTAAACCTTCACCGATTCTGAATCACATGGAAAGACTGGAGACGCACGTGGAGACTTTAACGCCAACGTAAGAGAGTAGAACCATTTTTTCACATGACTAAATCCATAAATAATGTATCAAAGAGTGGATTTTCCCCAAAAATTTGTGATTTGCCTGCGGAAATTTGGCAACACCTGAAGGCTAATCCCCATCATTTCCTCAGCACCGCAGTGTTCGAAGTGTGTAGTTGGCGAAACGCAGCGACGAAGCTGATCGATTTATCGATATTTCCCCATTTGAAGATATAGTGCAGAATAAATTATTGAGGATTTCGTTGCGAACACCCTCTTTATCGATCTTCTTCCATAAATTTATATGGCAGATCAATCGATGTATCGCAAAGCACGCCACGCCACAATTTGACACTAGCTTTGTGCTCGAGTAATACTCGAGGGTTGAATTTTGACGGAATGTTACCATTTTTTGGCCCCTACCCCCTTTTAGCGGACCCATAACACTTGCGGGCTGATTATTGAAATTGGGTCCTTTTTCGTAGGTTGAAAGGGCAGATGGATGGATGCGTCGCAAAGGACGCCACGGCACTGCCTAAACGATCTCAATCCTTTGTGGTGATCCCGGAAATGGACGAAATAGTCGAAAGCTTTGAAACTCGGCTTGGACGTGTAAAAGCTCTCGGCAAGACGCGTCTTTGAGGAGCGACGCGGCGCGCGACGGTGAGCGAACTCTGGGGCGTAATTAAAGGCAAGTGAAGCAATAGCCGAGGCGCGGGCCCGGGCGCAGAGGACCGGCATTCATCTCGGAGAAATGAGCGCAACGTGATAACTGCGCCAGTACAGAGATGTACTTGCTTTCCACGCAAGGTTAGCCGGCCGCCACGCGCCCCACGCTCACACGCGCGCACACGCTCGCCCAATCAGAGAGACGCGCGCGTGCCCCGCTCCGAGATCGCTGCCCCGGCCGCAGTGTCGCGAGAAATTATTCCGCCGATCATTTTCACTTTATGCTTAATGAGCTGGATTTTTCTGACTTCTCAGCACGGCTCTATACTGCCTTGCTCGGGAAGAACGCCGCGAGAACCTTCAGACGTTGTTCAAATTCCTTTGAGAGAAAATCGATTTTCTGGTCAACTCATACATATTTTCTTTCTAATTTTCCGGATAATTTTGCTCGCAATTTCACCTAAAGTCCCTGAAAATTTCAAGGCAAAATATTCGTAAAATTTCTCAAAAATAAACGATTATTCATTGAAGGGAATTTGGCGACTCTCGAATACGGAGTTCGTACGGCGTTCTTCCCTAGTGCAGCAGCATATCCTAGATACTATTGGAGGTAGGCACTCGGCATTTGGACGGATCTCATTTGTTTTTTACTACAAAGCTTACTATCGAAATGCGCTTCTATGACTCGCGCAACTGAAGGATTTTCGAATACAAACTGACAACGTCTGGATCTAGTGACACCAGTGTGGATGCGCGATCTCACTTACGACGACGGTGCACCGTGCCACCCGTGCGTGGATCCGAATTTTTTCGAAGTTGTACCGAGGAGACTTGTTACACACACGCACGCACTTGTGGGCCGGGACAGGTCGGAGTAGTCGTCCTTGTTTACTATGCCGCGGGATTGTTTATCTGTGTTAGTGGCACTAGCGCGCTTGACCACCGCATATTCGTCCCAGTTATCCCACATTCGTCACGTGACGAATCAACTTTGGTAGCGCTGTGAGGGTGTAGCCGGGGACAAAATAATCTAGCATCCCTTCACGGAAATGTCAATAAGTCAGAGTGCGGCACTCGTTGCACGGTTAGGATGTCTAGGAAACTCATTGAAAATATACAGGAAACGCAGCTCATTAAGCACTCTCAGATGCAGTAATAAATTTTGTCCATCCAAACTCTCCATTCATACCAGTTTGATAGCCTCATGCATGTTATTAAATTTATGCGAGGAAAAAAGCCTTAACGTACGAATAAGTCTGCTTTATAAAACAGATTGAACAATGCGTAACATCACAAACATATTCTGTACTCTAGCTTTGAGACTTCACTGATATTGTTTCATACATGCTACGAAAAGCGGTACGTACATACGAAAATGAAGGCGTAAACCTGACTCACCATAGCAGATTTCTTTTCTGGCTCGTATCCTTTGCTGAGTCCTGGATACTCTGTCCTTCAACATGGCACCCATTTTCGCTGCTCGTCGTCCAAGCACTGGAAAACTGTTCAGCACTGTTATCTGCCTCTCTAAAACAATTAAAAATCAGGAGAAAATTAGGAATGGTTGTATTTTGAGATGAGCAAAGCAGAAAACATGGAAAACGTCAGCAGCGTCCGTGAATGATAGAACGATACATAATTTCAACATAGTCATTTAGGGCAAATTCAAGCTCTGTGATGGCCTGTGAAGTGTATATGGTCAAGATCTCACGAGTAAAAGCGAGGTTCCTTTTAGTGGCCAAGTGTGACTGATCGATTATCGATATATTTCCCCGTTTGAAGCTATTGTACAGATTGATTATTAAGGATTTCGTTGCAAACACACTGTTTCGCGATCCTTTTCCATGGGTTTAGATAGAAGATAGATCGATAAATCGCAAAGCACGCCACGCCACTGATGGAATCCTCGTTTTTGCTCGTGAGATCTTGACCAGATTCGTTTCACAGGCGGTTCTCACGATTTCGGCAAAATTACCGAATACAATAGAAATAAAAAATTATATTATTATTACGAAATTCGCTAGATAAATTATGGCGGTAAGAAAAAACACAATAAAATTAGCGCTATCACCAGTGGCGTGGCGTGCTTTGCGATATATCGATTAATCTGCCATTTAAACCTACGGAAAAGTATCGATAAACAGGGTGTTCGCAACGGACACCTTAATAATCGATTATTTACCACTGTTCAAATGGGGAAATATCGATAGATCGTAAAGCACGCCACGCCACTGGCTATCACAAAGAGAGCATTAGGTGAAGCTTGGCATAATCCATCGCGTGATACACAGCACGAAAAGATTCATCTTTGAGTGATAACAATGCAAGTTATCATTTCACACGATCACTATGAAAACTACGAATTCTCTTTCACGGCTGTTCACGGCCATCGCTTAATAGGACGTATCAATAGGAAGGGATCAAAAAATGACAACATTTCGTCAGAATTCAACCCTTGATTATCCCTCGAGCACAAAGTTAGTGTCAAGTAACGGCGTGACGTGCTTTGCGATACATCGATTGGTCTGCCGTTTGAATTTATGGAAAAAGATCGATATACAGGGTGTTCGCAACGAACTCCTTAACGGTCGATACTTGACCATAGCTGCAGATGAGGAATTATCGATAATCGATAATTCACGCCTCGCGATTGTGTCAATAATTATATACAGTGCACCATCGGCGGAGCGTGCTTTCCGATAAATCGAAAGAGCTGCGAGTTAAACCTACGGAAAAGGATCGATAAACAGGGTGTTTGCAATGAACACCTTAATAATCGATTCGGGGCTTTACCATAGCCTCTAACGGGGTAATATCGATAATAGATCATTCACGCTTCACTACTGACAGTGGCTGTACAGCGTATTAATTTCTATCGGTAGATCATATTTGCCTAATGATCGAGAATTAAGGGTTTTAGTGAGAAAAAAGAAGACATTAATTTATTGAGTTGCCCTCAAGCAAGTGGTCGCTGCACAACTGTACTCGCACAATGAAGAAGGGTCCTAGTTAGGCCTTTCCATTGACACGGTAATTTATTTTCCCTGGACGTTGAGTTTGAGGATTATTTGACGCATTATTAATTTCTCTCCACTTAATCGTAATTTTTTTAACGAGCGAATCCGTCAATCATTCATCAAAACCAACTAGAGCCTTAATTCCCGGCAAGAAAAAGCTGAGCGCTGCCGTGCTAAGGAAGAACGCCATATGAGCCATCAGACGTTGCCAAATTTCCCTCGACAAATGACGAATTTTCAAGAAAATTTTTGAATATTTATCTTCCGATTTTTCAGAGGACTTCGTCCGTGATCTGATCTAAAAAGTCTGAAGATTTCAAGGGAAAATATTTATAGCTTTCTTCGAGAATAAATATTTGCTGAAAGGAAGTTTGGCAGCACTGGAATGCTCATGCGGCGTTTTTCCTGGGCACGGCAGAGCGCGAGCTTTAACGAGGATTTTGACGGGGATTGATCGGACAAAGGCGGCTCATTTGAATATTAAACGCGTTATGAGCTTTTGCTCGGGTTAATTGACGCCGCGCCGCACAGTGGATCGAGTCAATAGGAGGAGCCGGACAAAATGTAGAAACTTTAAACGCTCATAACTCTGTTTATACAAAACTTTGGGCTTCTAAAAGTGAATTCATTGGTTTCCTCGTGAAATTTTCTTCCAGAAGGACCCCTTGAAATTTAAAAAGTGACGAAGTAAACATCAAAATTTGCAGTTTTAGTCAAAAATTTTATGTCCGATCGCTCTAATTGACTCGATCCACTGTGCACCGCAGTGAACGGGGAATTAGTTCATTGTCAACTGTCAAGGCAGCAAAGAGTATGAAATCATAGGCTAGCAAATCGGTCGGGAATTGCTCTTTCACGCGATTTTTTTAACGCCTCTGACCTTGAAGCCCCAATATACAGATACCGATGATTCCAGTGATTGCCTTTTGAAGTCTGTCTCTTTTGAGGTTCCTGTGTTGAGGCCCGTTATTTGAACCACGTTAGGCAGAAAGGAACTAAGCCACATCAGATATTGCCAAATTCAATAAGGCATTTAATTATTTGCGTGGAAACGGTTGGGCAGACTTTGGTGAAAATTTCAGTGAATTTTCTGCGTAGTACGAAGCGAATTCCTAGAATTTTCAGAGGAATCCGCACAAACGTTCTCATGTAAAAAATTGAAGTGCCCAGTTTTTGGCAGGATCGATTTGGACCGAGTTCATCAGAAAGGAACCAAGCCACATTAAGTTGAAACTGAGATAAAGAGGTTAGAAGTTTTATTCCTGCATAAAACTCAATGTAAAAAATGAACTTTAATCCCTCTTTTCATAAATTAATTTCTTTTTTTCGATTTCCAGATTTTGCCAAGAGAATATAAACGACTAGTGAAACTCGAAAACATTCTTAACTCAATTTTTTCAAAAATAAGGGTTAGTTCCATTCTGAAAAACTGGTCCATTTATCATTACATGCATTTAGATGGCGAAGAATTTATGAGAAAAAGGTAAACTTAGCAGCTCTCAGTACGTATTCAGTGGCGTGGCGTGCTTTGCGATGTATCGATTGTTCTGTCATTTAAACCTATGGGAAAGGATCGCTGAACAGGGTGTTCGCAGCGAACACCTTAATAATCGATTCTTTACCATAGGTTTAAATGGCAGAACGATCGATACATCGCAATTCACGCCACGCCACTGTACGTATTAGGCTGCATGCAGCATGCTATCGATTGAAAACTTGAAGATAATTGGCAGGGACTGAAATAGTTCATTTTAGACTACATTCTAGCAGAGAATTCGCTAGCCGCACAAAAAAAAAAAAAAAAAAAAAAAAAAAAAAAAAAAAAAAAAAAAACTGTAAAGTCTTTATTAGAAACGCAAGAACATCCAAACTACTCACGATACGTCGTTTTTTTCACGAGGAAACGTAGCTGCATTTTAATGTTGCCAGCTTTCTCCTCACAAATTGCATTTTTACCAGGAGGTTCTGTGGGGTATTTCTATCTAAAAGGCAGGGTTGCCACAGAATTTAGAAAATGAAATTCCCTCACATTTTCCTGATTTCCCTGACACATTTTGGTGAAAATCCCTGACAATTGAAGATGTGACGGAGGAAAAATTTGTTGTTCGAAACCTCAAACCCATTCTAAGCAAATGAAGGGATTTAACAAATTTTCCCTGACATTTCCTGGGTTTCCCTGACTTTTTAAAATTCCTTGACATTTCCTAGTTTTCCCTGACTGTGGCAACCCTGGAAACTAACACTGATTTATCTTTTAATTTCATGGAAGAATCAGGAAAATTTTTGGGAAAATTGGACAGATATACTTTTGTTGAAATTGGATTGTTTCCTCAACTTTGCAACCGGTGAATGGAGTAACCCCTCTTCGTCCCGGAAACGGCGAACAGAGATTTTGCGGGAAAAATGCCAAAAAGCCACCCTGAAATTCCACTACATCAACATTAAGACTTGGAATTGGCAACAGGACACTTTCTTCGGCGGACCACACTTTACGCAGTGTGTCACTAGGCGCTCCGACAAATCTAATTTTATGTAGTTGCAGTGGTTTAAAGACCTTTTATATTCGTTCCAATACCCGGCACCCAGCTAGTCGGTGCACTTCCTCGAGTAAAGCCAATCTCCTCAATTACAAGTGTAACGCGGCGGCGGCGCCGTTACGTAAAAACATCCCAACTCATGCGTTTCACCTGAGCAGCTGCTCGAATACTGGTCGATGCCCCTGCTCGGACGACATGCAACATGTACGCAACTTGGTCGCCGCCCGAAATGGCCCATCATTAGACAATGCAGAATTTGCAGATCTCTCAAATTTCATCAACTTCAGGGGTGCAGAAACTTCCCAACCACGCGACTGGCCGTTCGCGTGAAATGAAAGGAACCCATGTGAGGACGGAAAAATTGGAGGAACCTTGGGAGCTTTTTTTTTTTTTTTTTTTTTTTTTTTT